CCGTGGCATGCTGACGGGTCTAACGGTCCGCCCGGGGCAATAGCGAGCCAGTGCTATGGTTCAGAGATCCCTCGGCCTCGGCTCCGCGGCCCTTGCCGGGCTCGGCGCGAAGCGTGCCTCTCGCCAGGCTTCCGAGCAGCCCGAGGAAGCCGGCGAACGTGGTTTCTACCGGGTCTCTGGCAGAAAGCTTCCGCCAGTCCTCCAAGCTGGCGGTGACGGATACACCGATCCCCGCATGAGTGTCGTGAGCAATGACGAGTCCGTCTACTACCGTCAATCGACCACCTTCTTCGATGACCCAGCCTCCGGGTCTACAGCACCCCGACTGGCGCTGGGCTCGCCCATGCGACCTGTCAGCGGCGTGCCCATTATGCGGTCCGGCCCGGCACGCACACCCGTTCAGGAGTCGAACCCCTTTGCCGACCCCGCGCCGCCGTCTCACCTGATGGTGCCGCCCTTGCGGGATGCTGTCGGCCGGTCCTTGACCTCACAGGACGGCTCCAGAGGCTCAGTCTCGCGGTTCACCGAGGAGATCCGCTGAGGCCTCCTCGTCACCTTGCCGCTCCTTCATTCGAGTATCTTTCCGCGTCTGCTTACGTTCCGATACCAAAGAAACTTTTTCATGATTTAATACTTATTTACAACATTCAGTCGAGGTGCTGCTCATATACACACAGCACCCTGCACTGTCTTCACGAGTGCATATGGGGAGGCGTTTTTCTTGCTAGTTTCCGCTCTGCCACGACCGATTGGATTTGTGCTTCAAAAGCGCGTCGTACAAAGAGAAGAGGATGTTGCTTCGCATTCATGTCTATACTTGAGGACCAGGGCGGTGGAAGTTGAGGCGGATTTTGGAAAGTCGGATACCCTGCTGTTTTGCTCTATGCAATCTTCCACACAAGCAAAGAGATTATTTGTCTTCAGGGACATGTGCAATGCTGTGCGGACTCTGTTGCTACTTTCGTGATGTTGACGATGACCTTTTCCAGTGGCGTGTTGTTGCAGGCCGGTATGATCACCCGTGATGACCACAAATCTCCTGAACAGACATTGCCTTGCTGCCACATAGCTGGCCTAACTTCAACAGCCTGTCAACGCCACGGACGTCGAACCCTCGCGGCTCGCTTTCAAATTATCGATGCGAAGCCGATGACCCGACGTCTCGCTCGAAAACACGCCATGTTGGCTGCCTCCGGCGCCGGTAAGCTCGGGAATAGCTTCTTAAGACTCGAGTTCGAACTGGCCCTTGCGACACTACCATGCGTATGCCTACGGGAGGAGAAGGGACTGTTCGAGTGTGACGACAGCCTCCAGTCGAGACAGTTGTGAAACGCCAAAGACGCACAACCTGAGGAATGCTGGCGCTTGGGCCCACTGGTCTACCAGACGCGTGGGGTTGTGTGCATTGCTCCAGTTTGCGTGCGCTGGCTGGCGGTCTATGCACAGCCCCACGGGCCCGCTACAGCCCGTTCCCGGGTTGAAGGTTCTCGTCCCAAGATCGGCCGCTTGACTTGTGAAACGACCTTCTCTTCGCGGCCAGCACATGGAGCCCCGAGCTTCAGCTCAGGGTTCTTCCGAATATGCTTGCGTCAAGTACGTACGCCACATGGCTAGATAGGACCGGTTCGCGAAATCGTTGCCGGGATCCCGAATTGACCGCACGAGTGTGTTAAATTTCAATGCCTAGGGCCAATAGAGGCTCCGAGGCCATCAGGACATCAGGGAATGAAGAAGACCTCGTGGGCGCGTGGTTATCGTTTCAATGTCCATGCTTGTTAGGAAATTCTGTACAGGTCCGTGAGCAAGCTCCATCTGGCGGGTCTCGTCCAGTCCTTGCTCGGACTGACTGACAAGGAGAACCGCGATTGATTGCGCATTCGGGGGCTCTTTCACGGGGCCCAGACTCAAGCACGAACCCCTCAGGGTCAAGATGAGTTGAAGATGAATCTTGAGATTGACATGCTTATAATGACTGGCGTCAAGAACATCATGCCATATCGACAGGCCGTCCCATTCCGAGCGAGCAGGTTCCGAACCCGAGAGCGCCTCCACTCAATTGGGAAGCGATGCCCAGCGTTCTCGAAGAACAGGAAAACGGAGAAAGTAATGGCAGAAAAAGAGGGTCTTGGCTGTGTCTTGAACAGATGCAGGGGTACTTTTAGTTGCGCAACTTGCCCACCGTGGATCGAGTCGAACATTCCAAATCATCCGCGCCCATCTGTCGATACAGCGGTGGTTCGTGAGGCAAGGTGAAAGTCATTGTTCGGCCGGCCGATCAGGGACTCGAACTCAACATATGAGGCAAAAAAAAAACATAGAACGTCCCTTGATGTCTTGAGATGGGTGGTGTTGGCGAAAGAAAAAGCAGCTCTGTGCTGTGTCTGGCCCGAGTCTAGGCGACGGGATGATTCACAAGGAGGGGCTGAGTACCATCGAGGATAATCTGACAGGGGAAGGGGCCATTGAGAGAGGAGGGGGAAGTAGAAGGGGTAAAGGACTGCGGGCTTACCAATCGTCGGGTAACAGCTGGGCCCCACGACTGTAGATCTGAGATATTGTGAAAGATCGTGCTCTGGTCTGCGACAACAGCAGGCTTCGGTGAAGCAAGCGGCAAGAGCTAACCAAGAGTGCTGGAGAGAGGCCACCACACCCGCCGTACCCCCGTGGGAGTGACAGCGAGGCGGCTGTTCATGTCGGGGTTCGTGGGCAAGTGAAGCCCGAAAGGCCACAAGCCCGGCAAATGGGGCGGGACTGCACGCAGATCAACCCCAGTCGCAGCGTGAGCACCTACCTACACATGGTGCAGGCGCAATTGCAAGTGGGGTGGAGACCAAGGCCACCCACATCACCCACTGGTGAGGTCCTCCTGCTGCACACAGCAGGACCACCCCCTTGGCCTCGGCCCCCCTCCCCTAGCCCCTTCTACCCCCCGATGAGGCGAGCGTAGCTAGCCCAACCATGGGCACGTCCAAATGTGAGGCACACCCACACGATTCCCGTTCCCGCCAGCGGTCATCCCATCCCGGACTTCCCGTCACGTCCTCTCCCGATCCTGAATCTTCCCTCCTAGTAATCTTGCTACTGTTCGACATACCGCCTGCCTCACCCTCGTTCACGCCTGCATCTGTCTGTCGCTTCCACGCGATCCGTAACTCCACCAGCCATAAACCTCCACACATTACGACAAGCACCCATCTCAGCCAGCGTACTTGATCTGGCCAGTACACGCATCTTCTGCCTAGGAGCGTGGCCCGATCGATCGTCAACTTCGTCAAAGCTCATCCGTCGCCCCAGCACTCGACTTTCCCAGATCGGCCCTTCCACATCAACGCCTTGTAATCAATGCGCCCACAATAAAGACATTGAAGACGTCTCCTTCACCGTCGCACTCTCCACGATTTTCTCTAGTTCGACTCCCTGCGATCGCGCCAACCGTCCGATCTCAATTCGCCCCCAGGATACGATTCCCACCGCCCGGTCACTCCATCGAAACGCACGCCATGGATCGCATGGGCTTTCAGATGCCTCACATGGGGCATCCGCCACCCATGATGAACCCCCCACCTCAAATATTCGGTGGCTACACACCCGACGGCATCCCGATTCAACACCTACCACCGGACCTTGCAGCTCAGATGTTCCCCGACCATTCAACTCTGCTCGACGACGCAAATGAAGCGAAAAGGAGGAGGATCGCAAGAGTAAGTGACTCAGAGGGTGGCAGCTCCAACGGGCCATATTGTTGTCCGAACCTCAACGCTGACAGAATTGCGGCGCGAAGGCTTGTGACATGTGCAGGAAGAAGAAGATCAAGTGCGATGGCAAAATGCCTGCATGCAGCCACTGCATCAACTACAAGACGGAATGTATTTTCACACAGGTCGAGAAAAAGCATACCCCTCCCAAAGGGTAGGTTGTGCTCCGCGACGGAAAGCTTATCTTGCGTCCGCCCCTCCCTCTCATTAGATACGCGAACTGATCACAGCGTTGCACAGCGCAAAGTACATTGAGGGTCTCGAGAATCGACTGGGCAGAATGGAAAACTTGCTGAGGCTATCAGGTCAGTGAAACGGGCCCACTTCAGACGAAGTCAAGCATTTCGCTGACATAGGCATAGGTCTGCTCGACGAAGATGAGAACGGCGAGATGGACCTCGGCACCCTGGAGAAAAAGCTGGCCGAAAAGCACCAGCAGTCTAGGCAGGCCTCACAGGCGGTCTCAAACCCCTCATCGCCCTCTTTAGCCGCATCTGCCACTCTAAGAGAGAGCACATCCACTCCACAAAGCTCCCTTACCTCTCCCGAGCCCTCGAAAGAATCCGAGAGGCGCAAATCTACCGTTTCCGAGGCCCCCGAAAAAGAGACGGGCGAGGGAGAAGGGGAGGTGGAGGAGCTATCGGAGATGATGTGCTCGCTCGTTACCAACCAGTCTGGCGAGACCCGATACATCGGCTCCTCCTCGGGATTCTCTATCTTCTCGCCCAAAGGTATTCAATGGGTGAATGAGAAAACTGGCGACAACTCTTTCCAGCAGATGATCTCGGAGGTCTCGATTGACGACCACAAGTGGACCAACTGGAAGCCAGAAATCTTTAGCGACCTCTTCCGCCGCCCGATTTTCCGACCTCTACCGCCCAAGGCTGAGGCTCTGTCGTTGCTGAAGGACTTCTTCGAGAACTTCAACTGCATGTTTCCACTCTTCCACCAGCCGACCTTTATGCACCTGGTCGAGCGTCAATACTCGAATGACCCCTATGAGGGATCGGGATGGTGGGCCAGTCTCAACTGTGCCTTGGCCTTTGCCCATCGATTGCGAGTTATGAGCAATCTCGTGCCACAAGAAGAAGATGACAAGGCGTGGGCATACCTCAAGAACGCCATGGCCATCTTCCCCGAGTTGACGATGCGTAATACCGACCTACTGACTGTCCAGGCCTTGTTGGCAATGGCGCTTTTCCTGCAAGGCACACCAAACCCGCAGCCGACCTTCATCCTCGTGGCCACTGCGATCCGACTTTCCCACTGCATCGGTCTGCACAAGCGTGGCACAGGTTTTGACCTCAATCCTATCGAGATTGAGCAACGCAAGCGCGTATTCTGGATCGCGTACATGCTCGACAAGGACCTGTGTCTTCGCGCGGGCCGGCCGCCTGCTCAAGACGATGGTGATATGAACGTTGAGTTACCGGATGCCGACCCTTCGGACAACATCGGCAACATCCCCCTAGCCGACGGCAAAGGAAAAATGAACCTTTTCAGGGTGATGTGTGAATTTGCAATCATCGAGGGCAAGGTGTACAACCGACTTTACGCCACACAAGCGGCAAAGCAATCCCCTGGTGAACTCCTCAACACTATTGGAGAACTCGACAAGGAGCTCGAGGAGTGGAAAGACAGGATTCCAATCGATTTCCGTCCAGAGCACGAGATCAAGGCCTCACACACGCCACTGATCCTGCATGTCATTATGCTTCATCTCACGTACTACAACTGTTTGACGACGATTCACCGCATGTCAGTCCACCATGGGTACTGGACAAGTCGACTTTCCAACTACGCGATTCAAGGACTGAACACAAAGCCGTTGAATCCTCGCGTCTTTGCCTCTGCCGCCCTTTGCACAGCCGCAGCGAGAGCGTCTGTCTCTTTGCTCAAATATGTCCCGCAAGGAGATTTTTCTGTTGTCTGGTAAGTTGTTGCGATTTATGCCTGTGGGCAATTTTGAATTGACGGTGTTCAGGCTCATTCTTTATTTCCCCGTGTCTGCACTGATGACACTTTTCGGTAATATCCTGCAGAACCCTCTCGACCATCGCGCAAAATCAGATACGAAACTGATGAATCTCGTTGTCAACTTCTTGTCCATGCTGGGACAGGAGGCAGAAACCGGCGGCGTGCATCGTATGCTAGGTGTCTGTGCCGAGTTTGAGCGTATCGCCAAGCTGGTAGTGGAAAAGGCTGAAAAGGAGCAGTCTTCGCGAAGGAAGAGGAAGACCCAGGACAACTCTAAATCTTCCCTTGATACGTCATCGATGCAGACCCCGAGACCTTTATCAGCGACGACGCCAACAGGCAACGGACTCAACGGAGTCAATGACGGACACCTCTCACCCAAGTTCAACGGGGAGGCCAATCTTCGTCAAAGAAACAGCGCCAGCTTTAGCCCAATGGCGGCTCAAATGGCGGAGCCTTCGCCCGCGCCACCATCTGCTGGCTGGCCTCAAGACTTTTCTATGTCGGACCAACAAGACTTTTCTTCGTTTGGCGACATGACCGGCTTTGGGCCTAATGGCGGGATTCGATCACCTCAAAATATGATAGGTGTGACGTACCAGCAACCGCTTCTGCCGCAGGATCTATTCTCACTCCCAATGACGTTGGATTGGGACTGGGCAGAGATGAGTGGAGGCGCGTACCCGACTGTTGAAAATGGTACAGTGGGAGATGTTCCACGATAGGGGGGGATTGAGGCGAACCGGAGGAAGGGTAATAGTCGATTCAGCGGGCAATTTCGGTCGTTTGCATTGCACGGGGTTTACGTTTGGCGGACGGTAGACGCGGTGTTAGGTACACAAAGCCAAGGTGCATTTATCTCTATTTGTTCCCACTCCCGCTTGAAGGCTCGCTCTGCTAAGGCTAAGCTTGTCGCTGTTTTGTGCCTTTAGCATTACACATGCCAGCCAGGTCTGGCCGTATTTGTACGCGTCGTTTGGCTGCCTAGCGGAGTGGCGTGGGAAAGCCGTAGCCCGCAAGCTCACGCTATCACGTGACGAGCCCCGCTTAACCCCGATGCCCGGGACAGCCCCGGGATGAACTGATCATCAACCGCAAGAGATTTGCTGGAGCCGTCATACTTATTCAGAACCTAAGGGAAAGCTACCTCAACCCAGAGACTCCAACCCCAACCACCAACGTCACAAAACCCTCAACCACACCGAGTCTCTGCGGTCGGGCGGCGAGGCTACCGATTAATACGCTGCACAATTATTTTGACCCATTGAGAGCGCATCCATGAACTAGCTCTCAACTGCAGGCGCCCAGCATCATTCCCTTACCACCTCTCTGACTCCGGTCATTCCGCCCTCCATACGCCACCATCATCACCACAACCTCCGACCATGGCCGGACTCCTTCGTCAATCCACGCAGCTGGCGCGAGTCGCAAGACAAACACAGCGGGCGACATTATGCAGAGCACTGCTGCGCCCGTCACGAGTGGCGCGTCAGTTGCCACTGGCGGTCCGAACCACCTCCCTACCACATGCCCCTGCCAGGCTATACTCGACGCAGGGTCCACAACCCCCCAAAGACGAGAGCAAGGATCCAATCAAGCCGAACGAAGATGAGCTGAAGTCCAAGGACGATGCCGCGGCTCTACTGGAGAAGGAGCGCAAGGACTGGCCCCTACCCGAGGGATGGACATACCTGACCGAGGACGAGATGACGGTGCTTGCCGAATTTGGCAAGAACGAGAGGTTGCCGCAGTGGATGCGCGACGATTTCGCACACAACCTCGAGAGCATGCGGGTGACGGGCGCGCCCAAGGAGCTCGGCGAGATGCTGGCGGACCGAAAACCCGGCGACATGACCATTGTCGAGATTGGCAAGTTTCTTCGCGTCATGAGCAAGATGGCCAACCGACTGGCAGAGTACGAGACGGCCAAGGAGCTGCGCGAGCATGGACACGAGGATGCGGCGAAGCAGGCAGGCCGCAAGGAGAGCACGCAGGAGGGCGAACAGGACAAGAAGTCGGAGCAGGGACAGAAGAAGAAGAAGGACGGCAAGGCGGGCGATGGCAGTGGTGGCAAGGATGGCGCCGACGCCGGCAGCCCGTTTGCGAAGAAGTGGTTCCTTGGCCGTTTCAGCACGGGCGACCTCATCATGGCTGGTATCGTCTGGGCTGTCGTCCTGCCCTTCTTCGAGTCGAGCTTCTTCGGCCAGCAGAAGGAGATTACCTGGCAGGAGGTGCACAAGAACTTCCTCGCCAAGGGCCTCATCAAGAAGCTCACCGTCCTGTCCAGCGGCAAGGTGCGCGTCGAGCTGAACCAGGAGGGTGCGCAGAACGCGTACGATGGCTTCGATCAGAACACCCAGTACTACTTCTCCATCGGCTCAGTACAGACGTTTGAGCAGCAGCTGGAGCAGGCGCAGAAGGAGCTCGGCATCCCGTCGGCTGAACGCATTCCCGTCAACTACGCCAGCGAGGGTGGTCTCTGGCAGGTCGCCATGGCTTCGGCCCGACCATTTGCTTGTCGGCCTCCTCATGTACACCACGAGGAGCCTCGGCGGCGCGGTGGCGGTCAGATGTTCGGCGGCTTCAGCAAGAGCAAGGCCAAGATGTTCAACCACGAGACGGCGGTCAAGGTTAAGTTCAGCGATGTGGCAGGCATGGACGAGGCCAAGGCTGAGATCATGGAGTTTGTCAGCTTCCTGAAGGCGCCTGAGCGGTTCGAGCGCCTGGGTGCCAAGATTCCCCGTGGTGCCATTCTTTCTGGACCCCCCGGTACGGGTAAGACGCTGCTCGCCAAGGCAACGGCAGGCGAGTCTGGTGTTCCTTTCTTCAGCGTCAGCGGTTCCGAGTTTGTGGAGATGTTTGTCGGCGTCGGTTCCTCGCGAGTGCGTGACCTGTTCGCATCGGCCCGGAAGAACGCGCCCTGCATCATCTTCATTGACGAGATTGACGCTATTGGTCGTTCTCGACAGGACGGAAACCGGATGGGCGGCAATGACGAGCGCGAGTCGACACTGAACCAAATCCTGACGGAGATGGACGGTTTCAACACTTCTGAGCAGATTGTTGTGCTTGCTGGCACGAACCGAGCTGATGTTCTCGACTCGGCTCTTACACGACCTGGCCGTTTCGATCGGCACATTTACATCGACAGGCCGACGATGAAGGGACGACAGGACATCTTCAAGGTGCATCTTAAGAAGATTGTGACCAACGAGGACCTGGAGCATCTCATTGGCCGGCTGTCAACACTGACACCGGGATTCTCTGGCGCGGACATTGCCAACGTCGTCAACGAGTCTGCACTAGCTGGTACGTTCACCTCACCCTTACGCCGTTGTTGAGGCTAGACTAATTCGTTATTCTGTTTGCAGCCGCCCGTGTCAATGCGCAGTCGGTTGAGCTCATTCACTTTGAGCAGGCGATCGAGCGTGTCATTGGCGGTCTCGAGCGCAAGTCGCTGGTGCTCAAGCCCGAGGAGAAGCGCACGGTAGCGTACCACGAGGCGGGCCACGCCATCTGCGGCTGGTTCTTCGAGCACGCAGACCCGCTGCTCAAGGTGTCCATCATCCCGCGTGGCAAGGGCGCGCTGGGATACGCGCAGTACCTGCCGGCGGGCGACGCGTACCTCATGACGGTGCAGCAGCTGATGGACCGCATGGCCATGACGCTGGGCGGGCGCGTGTCGGAGGAGCTGCACTTCCCGACGGTGACGACGGGCGCGAGCGACGACTTCCGCAAGGTGTCGCAGATGGCGCGCAAGATGGTGACCGAGTGGGGCATGTCGGACAAGGTCGGTCCGCTGCACTTCAGCGAGGACCCGAACCAGCGCAGAAAGCCGTTTTTGGAACTGACGGCGCCAGGCGATCGACGCCGAAGGTGCGCAGCATTGTTGGCCAAGGGGTTCGCGCAGTGCCCGGGACCTCTGTCGTCGAGGGGGCACCGAGATTTGGCCTCGTGGCCGAGGAACCTCTGAAAAAAGGAGAAGCTGACCCCGCGACCGACATGGTGCGCCTGCTGGGCCAAGAGGCCCGTTTGAGGGCCCCCCAGGACTTTTAAGAGAGTACTTTTGGTGGCGGCAGCAAGAAGCGCGCCGCCCCCCCCACCCGCGGAGGGAGGGGGGCAGGCCCACCGCCCGAGCAGCCCGTCGCCGGCGTTCCGCCAGGTGGACGAGGCGGAGAGGTAGGCCACGTTACGTGCCGGCAGGAGAATGTGCCCGCCTTTACGGGGGCATGGGGGAATAGAGGCTCTGACCGGCCTCCGGCGGGCAGGACGAGGAGGCCGGGGCGGGGTTGTTTGACACTCTACTTTGTTTTTCGAGGAAATCTACACTTGGTCGCTGGCTGTACTCTGGGAGCTGGAGGGGCGCAGCGCGGGAGGCCGCAAAACGGGCGGTTTTTGATAGACACAAATGTACCATATGTGTAAATACACCACTACTGTTCACTGGCCCATGCTCCCTCCCAAGCGGTCGAAGCTCGATGACTCGAAGACTATAGGACGGGTCTGTCACCGAATCCTCCAAGTCGTTATCCCACTTGACCTGGATGCCGTGTCAGGAACGTGGGTGGGTGGAACAACGTTGAAGCGATCGACATGCACACGAGGGCGGGACATGGGCAAGTCACGTTTGGTACCGTACCCTCGTCGTGGGCAGGGTTGGGCAGTGAGGTGAGGTGAGGTGAGATGAGATGGGGTGAGGTGCCTAGTGGCGAGCGGCAGAGCTTATCGCCGAAATAACCTGCCCAGGCAGAAAAAAAGAAAAAGAAGATACCCAGGGGGGACCCATAGAAATGATTCAACAGGTATTCCGAGAAGCAAAGGTAGAATGCGCCGTGTTTTCCTCGTTGCAAGGCTTGGCTTCTGTTTGGAGAGAAGACTGACTGGCGGCTGCAGAGTTGAAAGCTGAGCTGGCAGCGGTGAGCAGCAAGGGTGGGTGGCCAGGGAGCTGGAA